TGGTTATACTTCCTTTTGGTATCATACCTTAGAGGCCTCAGCACAATTGTACTGAGACCTGTGCAAACACAGCAGAGGAACTGTCCCTGCCATGAAAAGCTACAGTATGAATCTAGGACTAGAAGTTTTAGAGCAATTTGATATGACAAACAGATGGTGAAGGAGAAGATAACAGTGAGATGATTGCAGTAGTTGGCACTGAAGCACATCAGTGCTAGGAAACCTGACTCAGAATACCTTTGTGAGGGTTTTCCATACCTCACCTCTCAACTTTCTGGATGAAATGAACCTTATTCAGTAAAAAGGGCCATATTTCTCCAAACTGGTTCAGTTTTTGAGAGCTGCTTTGTGACTGAAATTCAAGCTGGGTGTTTTTTTTTAGATAGCATCTTAAATAACAACGGCTGATGAGCCTGAAGGCAACTTCCACTGATGCAGTTTTCCGTGGCATTGCAGGACTTTAGCAGTTTGGCCCGGCATCTGCATTACAAAGGCCAGTTCCAGCATCCCAAAAATAATCCAGTTAAAAAGCAATGATGAGAGCTCTTGGCCACCATATTTATAACCAATTGTGATCAATTGATTCAGCAAATTATAAGCTGAATACATTTTTTTTTTTTTGCTTAGTTCTGATAACAGTTAAAATCTGATTTGTGTGTTAAGACACATATCTCATTTCAGACCTGCGCCTTCTCCCTTTTTTCTTCCCACCTGAATAAAACCTTGCAACTCAAATGAATGTGTTGGCATGCAGGATATCTGTGCGGTATGTTGTTGTGGTTGCCCTTGCGAGTTAGAGTGTCTCTAAATTTTTGTGACTACCATTTCAGAGCGTATCCCATAGGAGAATACCCTTGCAAGACCAAATCAGCTGCTGCCATTATGCTGATGATCATGAATAATCTGGATCCGTCAGTGGCTCAGGTAAGGTGCAGTGAAAATAAGGAAGCTGGATTGATAGGGCAGCAGCAAATCTGCAAGTTATTTTCTGTATGTGCTCTCACATAAGAACTGAAGATTTTAGGCATATAGGTGAAAATAATCCTTGTGTAGATGATCCTCCTTCCATGGATTGAATAGAATTTTAATTGTTCATAGGCCTTTTGCTGGTTCTGTGCCCCAAGGTATATGCCAGCCCCTGTATGTGTAGAGCTGCTGCTGTGTGTTAGCTAAGCAGGCCAAGTTCAGTGGTGCCAAGGCAGCCTCCTTACGGGTTGACGTGCTGGAGTGCCCATTTCTGCAAGGCCAAGCCTGCAAGAGACTAAAGGAGATTCTGTTCTTTTCTTGTGGTTATGTTTTGATTCCTGGGATTTGAGGTCTTATATATTAAGTTCTTTAGTTTCCTGCTTTGTGCAGTTCTTAATTCTGCACAGTAAGTCCTGGTCCTAATGCAGACCTCTGAGGCCTCCTACAACACCAACAAGGCTTGTGCCAGCTCCTGCCATGTGCAGGAGCTTGATCGCTGTCTGTGAGATAGGTAGAGCTCAGCTCTTAGTACAGTGCTTCTACAACTTATGTTGAAAAATTAGTGCTGATTCTTCCTGTATGTTTGAAAGCTCGTCCCTCAAGGACAGACTTCCTAGAGGATTACAGGACCACAGTCCGTCCTAACAAGCACTACCCAGTGTAATGCACCTTTTTGCAAAGGGAAGGGGGGGAGGCCATGCAACTATGCCCTGCCGGTGGTAGACTCTTCCAGCTGTAAATGCCAGTGGCAACCAGACTGTAAGGTCACTTAGCCCCTCTTTAAGGGAGTTTATTGGGATGTCTGTCTGATACAGAAACTGCAATCAAGGAATCACTTTGTAGCATCCTGCATCCAAAATGGCACTGTAACAATAACAAACACCTCATTTTGAAAAAGAATTTTTTCTTAAATTATCACTTTTGTGATAGTATTTTCTGATTTCAAGAATATAGAGAGTGTTGATGCAATAAGCTCTAGAAAAGACTTATTACTGAAATTAAAAAAATAGCTTGGAGATACAGTGAAACATTTCAGAAAACTGCTTGCCTTATTATTGTTAAATTGCCTTTTTCAGTTTCCCCAGGAGCTTGTCACTTATGGAGGAAATGGGCAGGTCTTCAGCAATTGGGCACAGGTAGGACATTGCTGCCTTTGCAACTTGGTTCACAAAGCCAGTTTCACCCTCCCCCACGCACATTCTGCTTCGGCAGTTTGTGATAATTCTTGGCAGTCGTTGTCTCAAAATACTCCAAGACATCCTGTCTGGATAGAGGAATGCTCAGTTATGAACTGCATAGATGGGGAGAGCTTTATTTAGTAAGGAGAGCACAGACAGCCGAATAGAAATGCTAAACATAATACCATAAACATACCAAGTTGTATGATGATGTAAAGACCAGTTCTTTGTCTTTCTCTGATGCATTTGTATGTGCCTGTGTATTTTGGAGAGATAATTTTAGAGTCAAAATGAATTCTAGGAAACCAAAACGGTGTATCTTTTGCTTACTTGCTTCTGGTACTTTTGCAATATTTTTCACAACTACTGGAATAAAAAAAAAAGGGCTTTGATTAAAGAAAGTGTAATCCTGAGTCTTTTTCCAAGCAAATCAGATTAGCTGTAAATATTTACATGCTAGCTGGCCAGATCATAGTCCACTTTACTGTCAGGCCTAGCAACATTATCTCTGATCTTCTGAGAATAATGGCAGATGTGTAAAAGCCTGCCTAAAAATCATAGCTGGGATGTTTAAGGTGTGGTTGTATAATGTCTGTTCTCCTTCTCTATCAAAAAATGGCAATAAATACACTTGTTCTAATCCAAGTACTGCAAAATGCACATGGGAAACATTTTCAGGACATCTTTAACACCAGCAACATATTTAGACTTATGTTTTGTATGAGCTCAGTTTATTCTCTCAAGAAAAAAAAAATGCTCTGGGTCTGAATGCTCTACAGGTGTGTGGTGGCAGGAGGAACATTTAATGAACAGCCATCTGAGTGTCTGTGGATAGGCACAAATGTGGTTACTGTGAATGGCAAAGCCACATCATCCCTCCAGCCTCTGGTATGCCCCAAAGCCACAGAGTGGGGACAGGCGGAGATGTGACAATGGGTTTTGCAGTGCAGATAAGGCAAGCACATGAAGCTACATAATGCTGAAGGGCAGCATCGCTCCCAAAGGCTGGGAAGATCTTTATTTCTGATTCTGTAGCTTACATAAGCAAAAGCTGACTTAAGGAGCCAATTTCTGTCATAAAGGATCACGTACGCACCTTGTTGTGGCTTTACCCGAATCTGGTCTCTTGTTTATTAAAAATCCAAGCGAAACTAACATGTAAATGAAGTTCCTAGTTAGGGGAGAGGAATGGATTTGTCACTGTAGCATGGAACTGAGACACCTGGGTTTTCTTCCCAGTTTGACTGCGATTTTTCATTTGTGGCTGAGAGAAAACTCATGCTTCAGTTTCCTAATCTGGTAAATAGGAGCTAAGTAGAAGTCTTAGGCAGCTTTTGAGGCAAGACTGTTCTGACTTTAAAAAGAAAGGCACCACGGCAGTGCACACCATTTCTTTATGCTGTGTATTAATTAGTAAATGCCAGTTAACTAATTCCTGTTAACTACATGAGTTTTGCAGCATTTCTGATGTGAGCAGTTTATATAGTAAGCTTTATTAGACTGACATCCCTTAGGCAGATGCTGGGCTTGCAAGGTGAAGTAGGAGCACTGCCAAAGTCAGAAATACTCTCTTTTCTCTTGTTCTTATCCAAGACAGAGCTATGACCTGCAGTTGTTTCACAGCAGAACAAACAAAACCTTTTTGATTTTGCTTACTTAGAGTAGGAATCACATGAATGATTCAGTTATGACAGAACATTTTGTTCTGTTTGTGGCTGGAAAACATGCTTTTTGGAAATCTGTCATTGCAAAGTTCCTGGTGAAAGGTTCAGTTTGGTTTATATCATCCACGCAGACCTGTGCTTTCTTCTGAATAATTTTAAAAGAACGAACCATGTCCAGAGCTAACTTTACAAGCCTGCAGACAACAGAACTGTTCTCTAGGAAAGGCTTTTGCCACCTTCTTACTAGTTGTGCCTTTCAATGCAAAAAGATCTTTCAGCTTCTAGTTTTATAACAATGTTTTTCCCGGCATGCTAGAGCTGAGAGTTCAGCTAGTTACCTGTTCTGTCCTAGGACCAGAATTTGATTATTCAACATTTTTCATGAAACAAAACCAAAATGTAAAAAGCAAGACTAACTCTCGTAACTCTTGCCTGCTCAACTTAACTTGCAGCTTGGAAATAAGCTGCGTTAGAAGAGACTGGCTTCAAATTTGTACCATTTTTAATTCAGATCAAAGACACAGAGAGGTGAAGTGCCCATGACAACTGATACTGCTGTCTCTTTGATCAGCAGCTCCTTTTTTTTCTTTTTTGTTTTTTTTTTTTTTAATAACTTTGTGTCCCTACAGAAACTCTAGTTTCAGGCTATTGTTGAATTCCAGTATTTCATGGGAAAGCTCCTCTCAGACCTAGTTGTCATATACTAAAAGTCCTGTGGAATATAATGGGCTTTGTGATAGACAATGATGGATGCAAGTCAAATCTATAGGCAGCTTAGATGGTCAAAGCCTATTTTTGGGCACACATCAAGAATAACTATTGAATTATGCAGACAAAGTTGAGATGCATTTATTTGGATACTCCTGAGTGCCTCAGGGACTTTCTTCATTGCTCACAATGAAAGTTGAAATTTTTTTTAAGACTAAAAATTATTTCATTTTTAAGTGCACATTGTAATATCCATTTGTTGAAAAGATAGCAAGCACCAGAAGATGCTGAATTATCCATTTCAGGTTAGGATCAACAATATGCGTGGGTATTTTAATCACTTTTATAGGGAAAATTTTGCAGTTTGGCTTTGGAAAGATTGCCAGAAAAGTGCCAGATCCAAATGGTTAACCTCAAGATAAAATTAGAACAGCTTTAAAAATGAAGGATTTCTGGGGTTTGTACTGGAGAAATTATACTGGAACTTATTCAGTCTTTTGCTAGTTGGTGATTTATGTTTCCTGCTGGGTATTTTAATCACTTTTATAGGGAAAATTTTGCAGTTTGGCTTTGGAAAGATTGCCAGAAAAGTGCCAGATCCAAATGGTTAACCTCAAGATAAAATTAGAACAGCTTTAAAAATGAAGGATTTCTGGGGTTTGTACTGGAGAAATTATACTGGAACTTATTCAGTCTTTTGCTAGTTGGTGATTTATGTTTCCTGCTGATAAAAGCAAGAATGTGTTGAGAGCTCTGGCTGTTATTCCATATGCGAATGCACCTCATTATCTCCATAGCTGCCTTCATACTCCAAATTTAGTAGCTTCACAAAGAAACATAAATGTAGTATGGAAACAGATTCCTTCACTTTGCTTGCTTTTCCTTTCAGTTCTGGTTGGTAATGCACTATTTGTCAGAGATGACTGAAGAGCAAACACTAGTAATGTACAGTGGACATCCTCTGGGACTCTAAGCCATAAGTATGCTCCTCGATTAATCATTACTAATGGCATGGTAGGTATGAGCATCTTGTTTTCGCTCTTTTCTCCTCTTCTATTTAGTTTTCAAGTGTTTGCTGAATTAAAATATTATTTATACTACCTGAACTTACAACAGCACACAGGAGAATCTGGGGTCCAAATTCTGCAGCATTTATTCCAGTACAGTCCCTCTCACCTCAAGTGTGCTGTGATGGAGGGAACAATCTTCACCTTATTAGATGACTTCTGTTCTGAGCCTAAACTGTACATGTTCTTAACCAAAACAGTTCAGCCTAGCTCAGTTTGGAAGAACTAAAAGCCCTCAATAGGCAAACAGATGACTATTCACCAGATGCTCAGATATCTGGACTGCTTTGCTTGGAAGGCAAGCTGGACAAGTGAACATACTGGTTCATTGCCAGTCTTTTGAGACATTCAATATCTATTTCTCCACAGCCTAGTTTTGTGGCTAGAGAACTACTTTCCTTAAAACTTGCATGACAGCCACGCTGCCAGAAAGACCAGACTTGTTTTTGCTAATACTAGAATGCATGGAATAAAACACTTGAATTACTCTTCCTGGATTTCACTGTTTTTCTATGTGTGTGACCATAGTTGGAGAAATGTAGACTGTTAAAAAGATCTGCTTAAATCTCTAATTTGCTTATCTGGGTTTTCTTTTGATTGTTTTCCTAGGTTATTCCCAACTATTCCACCAGAGATGAATATGAGAAGATGTTTGCTTTGGGAGTAACAATGTAAGATACTTCACTATTAAAGTATATAAAATACTTAACTAAAATGTAATTCAGACATCAAGCTGTGGCTGGTTAAAATTTCTAAAGCAGATGGATTTCAACTGTGCTGCATAAAGTCCTGATGCTGCAAAGCATTAATGCACACTTAAGTGGAATTACTTAGGAGTTTATGTTCAGCCACATATATAAGGATGTAATTAAGGTCTGCTAGGAATTAGTATCAGGTTTGTGGGGGATTTGGCTGAATTACAGTCTGAAGCCTTAATCATAACCTACTTACAGCACTGGCTAGTTCCACTTTGCAATGGTTGTTTTGCAATCTACAGAAAACACAAGCTAAGATTCCTTCTCACTAATTGAAAGCTCTGAAGTAGAAAGTTATCAATTGTTTTAATGATTATTTACCTACTTTTTTTTGCTGCTCATCTAGTTGATGAGCAGGATTGTTATTCTGGTGTGTACCATGGAGGGAATAAACTAAAACCACTGGAGAACTGAGTGTGTACAGATAAGGAAGCTGGAAGAAAGAACATGAATAGAGAATGTCCATTGCCACTTTCTTGGGAATTTCATAGGAATGTAGACAACCATTTTGGGCTAACAACTTCAAAAGTAACCACTGAAAACCAATGGCATAGAGATGCCAACAATGTGAAAAGGAATGTCCTTGTGTCCTAGTCTCTATGCTAAATGCCAAAACAAGTTTACAACTCGGTTTTTTGATCCATGCATTTTTGAACTCAATTTAGAACGCTAAATGATCCTCTGAAAACATGTTGGTGCATTGCTAATGAAGAAACTCAATTAAGTTGTGAATTTGATGATAGCAGATCTTTAACAACAAATTGAAGCACAGAGATTTTTTTTTTTTATATACTGGAAACATATGTAGAAATGTACAGAATTAATTCCAGCCTGAATAGCATGTGCTATCATTGTGTTCGTTGCTATTGCTAGGTATGGTCAGATGACAGCAGGGAGCTACTGCTACATTGGGCCTCAGGGAATAGTCCATGGGACTGTGGTAAGAAACTGGCAAAAAGTCTATTTGTTGATACCTATTGGAAGAGGGTATCTCCTGTAGTGGCTAGTGACTGCAGTGGAATGGATTGCTGTGAGAGGATGTTCTGGCTACCAAAGAAATTCTCATTGCCTGCTCCTTAAAAAATCAGTGTCCTTCCACCCTATAGTCCATGGCATCTTATCCAGAACACAGACCTAAAGGAATCTGCAATCAGAGTCTCAATCTGAGCTCATATCTAGCTACAATAAGTGAAGTATGAATTGACCAAATGTGTTAGGTAAAAACATTTTCTTAGCTTGTTTTCTTAGCTGTTTTCCTCAGCTCTCTTTTGCAGCCATCTTGAATAAGTCTCTATACCTCAAGAGCAGCATGTTGGGAACCACTGATTATTCTATTTCATGGTGAGAGAAATACACATAATCAGGATAGATGGTTTCATAACATCACTTTGTAACATGTTTTCTTCTTAAAAGATTAAAACAGTTTCATGACCCCCAAGTTTCAAACTGTTTGCAAAAGGAACAGAAGATCTTTAAATTTCAGGGACTCTAGGAAATAGAGCTCCTGATAATTGCTGTATTGTGTTGTGTGCAGCTCACAGTGCTCAATGCAGGCCGTCGCTACTTGAAGGCAGAAGACTTGTCTGGAAAGGTGTTTGTTACTTCTGGTCTTGGAGGGATGAGTGGGGCTCAAGCAAAGGCTGCAGCCATTGCTGGGTGTGTGGGGGTCATTGCAGAGGTGAGAGCATTGCTCCTTTCATTTTGTTGTCTCTCCTTCATGTGCTGAATCAGAACCCTCATTCTCCTCATCTGACATGTTCCTCAAGTAACCCTGACAAGCCAAACTCTTTTTTTGTTTCTTTCTTTTAAGATGCTCTTTTCTAAGATCTGTCTGTTCTTTTCATTGCTGAAAATTTTTACTGCTATTCTGCCTTCTATTTGTTCATTTACTAGGTCAGACTGTAAGGATATGGAGTGTAATTTCTTCTGATTGCTTCACAAATAATGCAGAATGATGCTGTCAGATGAGCCATTCTCAGTACTTGAGCTACCGTCATTTCATGTGTGAAAGGATGTAATTTCCACGGGCATTTCGCATGGGAACTGCACCCTCTGATGCCAAAAAAAGTCTATGTTAAGGAGGTGTTAGTTACATTAGGATTAATCCTTAATGCCTTTGGCACCCTTATTAGGTGCAATGGAAAGTACCTGTTAAAAATGTTGGTATGATTCACTCATCAAGGTTGGGACTAATGAAGTTGCTTGGTGTTGTGATTCTTTGAAGTCAATGGGATTTTGTAAAACTGGAAGTTGTAAAGTCAGCTTCACTATGAAGATGGTGAGTCTAATTACAAGCATTTAGGACAATTCCAGTTTGTAGACAATGAAGGTAAGTTCTCCCAAGGGAAAATGCTGATGGGGGAGAAGTTCTGTAGTACCATTTTCCCTGTTCCCTGAAGCTCGCCCACAGCATATATTCTTTGTAAAGAGTCTGTCATCCTGATGTGATGTTTCTCTGTTCCAAATATGTTAAAATAGCCCAGCTATTTCCTCCCATAAACAAAGAGAATCTAATAACAATCTGTGATTCAAAGGCTGCTAATGTTCAAGCAATAACAATAATGTATGATAGGATTCATTGAATTCGCATATACCCTTAAGTATCATATATTACGCAGAACACCAACATCATAATCTTGGTAAGTATATATGCCTGTAAGTTTTAAGTGAAATATGTGCTCATATAAAAAAGTAACATTAGGTTCTCTTAACACCTGCATTTTTCAGCTATTTTGCTTATCATAGGACTCTTCCAACAAATCAGATGGAAGGATGGACTACAAAAACACTGCAACAATTTTTAACAGAAAATGTTACTCTACAATTCTGTGAATATGGTAGTGAATATCTTTAATGATATCGACTATTGAAAAACAATAAACATTTCCATGCATTTCTTTCCTCATTTCTACCTTTGCATTCAGTACACTGGGGAAACATTCTTGGAGCAGATATAGGACTGACCAAAATGCATTGAGCTCTTTATCTGTAGGTGATGAGCTCTTGTTACTGCTCAGATGAAGAGAGATTTTTGAGAACCAAACTCCAGCCAGAGCTGACTTGAGTGAGTGTTTAGCCTTCTCTGTTAGTCATTTACAGAGAGAATTAGCTGGCAGACCTCTGCTATGGGCATGCCACTTGCTGCAATGAAAAGGGTAAGAATATTGCAATCTGAACCATGGTAATTATAATTAAACTTCAAAACATAATGGGTCAGACTGCCCACGTCACATGCAGTGAATCTGACCTGCTCTGGCTTGCTCAGGTCTTATTCAGGGAAGGTTATGGTTTCATCTGTTTTACAATGATGGTATAAAAATATTTTTATTAGCACATGAGCTTTGCATGTATTTGAGATCTCATCAGGTACTTCCTGCAGATTAAATAAATTTATTCAATTTGATATTGAATAAATTATCTTTATTCAGACTTTTACTCTGTCATTATGATCTTTCAAAAGCTAGAATACAAAGGAAAGATTCCAGTGAAAGCTATTCAAGGCAGCCCTTTGTCCTTTTCATCTCTACGGCTGCAGATGATTTTGTTCAGGAGACTGAATATCGCCTGGTTTTTATCTCCTGTGAGATGATCCTTGTCGGATATGAGTCTCAGGAGCACATGTGGATAGCTATATATATGTACATATTATTTATTTAAGGAACTATTTATGCAAATGACATTGATGAATTGTGCAAGAGATGTCATTTTGTCAGCCAGGGCTTCTGAAGCTCAGGCAGAAGGGATTAATGGTGCAAGTCTTTTACCTCTTCTGTTTGACATGAAGCAGATTGTAATTTTATGAAATAATTGTGTGGAAGTCCTGACTATCTCTCTGAGCTGCATTAAGCTCTCTAGGGTTACACTGGAGGTGACATTAGCTCATCATGTTTGCAATTTTTTAAACTACTGAGATGCTGATCAAAAAATGAGCGTATTTTTGAACATGTGGTTCAAAGGAAACTAGTTTTCTGGAGTATGCTAAGTCTGTAAAACAGTGAGACTGTCAGAGAGGGCTGAAGTAAAACATGTAGGATGTGGTAACAGATTTAAATAGATCTGATCTGTGTTATGCTGAGCTTTAAATGAACCCAATTCCTGTAATTCATATGGATCATTTAATATCTTTCCTTCTGTGCTGATTTAAATAACTCTCAGAGAAGCTGTCCCTCACGGCACCTGACTTTATTGAGTAATTCCATTGGCAGTGACACTGATATTATCATAATCTGGGGTTTTGGAAGGATAGTCTTTATTACTGATGTGGGAAATGATGGAAGGTTTGTCATGCTAAGAATAATTAGGAAAGAAAAGGTTTCCTGGTGTTCAAGCAACTCTTGAATACAGCACTTATTTAATTTACATATAAATACTTTGTTAATGAGAAATAGTAGAATGAAAATGATGGGGGTAGGTTATAGAGAAGTAAAAATACTTTAATTAAATACTAGAAGATAATCAGGTTATGTGTTCTTATGCACACGCACCACTGTGGGTGTTTAAGTCTGTTGCTGCCACAGAAAATTGGCTTGAAATAATTTTGCCACTTGCTTTATGCCACTGATAGCTCATTATAAAAGTATTAATGATGTGCAAGTTTGTACATCGAACCATTGATATGCAATCTATGCCAAAGCCTGTGCAGTTTGTCTATCCATTTATATTTTTATCCAGCTGTCTCTTCTGCATATACACACTGACACACACAGAAGCTGAGCCCAGAAGAGAGTACAGATTTGGGATTGAGCTTGTTTAGAGCTTCAAAGTTCAAGCAAGAGGGAATTAAAGACGTAGTTTTGTTTTGATCCATTCCATTTTTCAGAGGCATTAGCCAGCTGGGACAAGAAAATGCTTTCCTCTTTTCTTTTCCATATTTGGTTGAGATTTTCAACCAGCAGTCAAAGAACAAAAGTGAGGGTCAATTTTATTCAGCAAACCATTGCTTCATCCTGGGCAGACTGGCAGAAATGTCTGTCTTTGAGCTGATCAAAGAAGATATTTCCTTAATTAAACAGAAATTTTATTTTCAAAGAAAATGGCTAGATTTGAAAAATAAATTTGAAACATTTTGGCTTTAATTTTTTCCAGTATAATAATGAAAAGAAACAATAAGAATAATTAAAATTAGTGAAAAAATATTACCTCTTGTACAATTTTAATGATTTTTTGCTTGTAAAATATTTTGAGAAATGATGTATCAAAAAATCTTTTTTTTCTTGCTTAAAGTCTGTAGTAAAAAAAAAAAAAAAAAAAAAAACCAAAAAAAACCACCACAAAAACCAGAGGTGAAAAATAAGTATTTGAACAATCACTATATTCTTAAGGCCAATGCAGGGCTATTTCCTTTACCTATTTGCTACTCTATCTTACAGACTAATTGAAAAACTAAAAGATGAAAGTGACTGGTTAGGGGAAACAGGAGTTTTAAGATCTCTGCTATTTCTCTTAGGTTGATGAAGCAGCACTTTTGAAACGTCACAAGCAGGGATGGCTGATGGAAATCTCTAACAACCTGGACCATTGCATTGCTCGTCTTAGGTATGACTTGTAACGGAACTCAGTGAGTTTATCTCTGCCTCCTAAGCCTCACTTCACATCTGTCTGCATTGTACTATTTTAGTGTGCATATAGAAGGGGTTGCAGGACACCTTCTTATTCCAGGTCTGGTTTTGAATGTGAATCCACCCTTCCAAACAGCAGTAGTTGTCATTAGTGACTAGCAACATTTACTGCAAGCCACTACCAATGCTTCAGACATTTTATATATGTTAAATGTGTCTTCATACAGTTTCATGAATATGCATAGAGCAATCACAAATATTGTTACACTTGAAGCATCACTCAAGCTTGCTGGAATCAGTGATTAATAATTACATAAAGGTTGAAAAATCTGTTGCCTAGAGGAGTGTTGGAAAACACAGACTTTTTTGCTGGGATTCACTCTGTATATTTGTACATTGCAAGATGAAATTATTACATGAGATGCATTTTCTTCAACAAATCTTTTTAATCTATTCTAGAGATGCAAGAAAGAATAAAATTGCCCTTAGTTTGGGTTACCATGGGAATGTAGTAGATCTATGGTAAGTAGTATATATAGATAATGTGTATATTAATCCTCTAGCTTGTTAGTCAACGTGGAATTCTCAAACTTGGAAAAGAAGAGGCATTAAACCTAGTGCTGAGTTCATTACTGTAAATGCTCATGAAAAACTATATTGTCAAAAGAGGGGTCTTCATCCTTGTGTTCTTCTTCCCAGTTGCTTCCCATGCACCTTCTCCTTTCCTTATGGAACAATGAATTTCTTAAAATCCCTAAGATTCTTCCGTGGATGAAAAAAGAATTCATCCCTTCTAACCTTTCTAACCAAAATGCCTTTGACTTCAGCAAAGAATAGAAGTATTGAGGTATTGATTGAATAAAAATAATCAGATGATGGATTCTGGCACTCTTGAGGCTTTATCCAATCATAAATCTTGCTGTCACACCATATACCAAGGGCTGAGACTGACCGGTAAGACTGGTATGTCATACTGGTATCTGACTCCTCTATCAGCATTCCTGAAAGCTAAATGTGAAGTATAAAAGTTGCACCTAAATCTTTGTCACCATCATTTCCCACCTCCTGACTGCTAAAACAAAGACTTAGCCTGCCAAGGGCATACCTTTATAAACAACCTCTTGGAGTGGAAGGAGTTCACCTGAAAGAGGAGCTAGAATGTGAAACATCAGCTTCTGTTCAAACACTCCATTCATTGTCTTCCCCAGGGAGAGGCTCGTATATGAGCTGGACACAACAGGAGAGCTGCTAGTTGATCTGGGGTCTGACCAAACTTCGTGTCATAACCCATTCAGTGGTGGATACTATCCAGTACAGCTTGGCTTTGAGGAAGCAAAGCAGCTCCTTTCCACCAATCCGGGGAAGTTCCGGACCCTGGTACAAGAGAGGTAATTATTTTGGTGACACATTTTTAACCTTTAAGTTTAATTGCTCTGCAGGTGATCAGATCTTTGTCTTTCTCACATGAAGTTTCTGTTCTTTGGTATTTCAGTAGAAATCTGGGGTAGAGCTACAGTTCTAATAACTCCCAACTTTGTACTTACACAGCTGTCACTCAGAATCTGGCAGACATCACTTACCCACCATTTTAGGAGTAGTCTCTAGTGCATACGTTCAGAGCTTTGAACACTAATGATTTATTTCACTTCTATAAATTCCTAGTTTTTAAAAATCTAGGACAATAAGTACAATTCCATGTAGTGTACTAGTTGGTTTAGGTTCACTGAATATAGCCTAAAAACCCAATGAGTAAGCCAGAAAGTCCATCTAGCCTACCATGCTTCCAGCTGTGGCCAGTAATGCTTTTTTTAGGGAAGGATAAGGATGGGGACAAACCCCCACCGTCACTCCTCCCAAATTCCTGCTACTGTAAGTTTTGCTTAGCATCTTGATTTTGGGGAGTTATTTCTGCTTTACAAGTTTGCAAGTGAAGTTGGAACTGGACATTATAAAGGGATTAATTTGGCATAATTTATATATACGTAAAGAACTGTGGAACAGAGGCAGCAAGCTGTACTGTTGTTCTCAACTGTACTTTCAAGACTATTGCTCCTACTCTGGTTTTGTTCACCTTGAACATTGCCACTGGAGACCTTTTTCCAGTAGAAGGTAGGATATGGGCATATAATATGTTTGACTTTGGATGAGGGAGCTACAAGGACCTTTCCAGTTTCCCAATCCTGTATCATACTACTAAGACAAAGGTAACAGAAAGGTAAATTTCTGGGAGGGACTCATTTCTAACAAGCTAAGTTTGATCTAAACAAATACAATTTCATTTGTTAGGCATTGATTTACCTCTCTAGAGTTCCAAGAGGTTACACCTATGCATGTACAACTCCATATGCAACTATGCATTGAGATTAGAACTGGATGATATTAAGTGGAAATGTTATCACAGAGGGCAGTCCTGTGGTATGGTCCACCTTTGGAAGCCAAGGGAAAATTGGGCTGTTTTGGCCAAGGGAGAAGCCAGAACAGTGACGTTTAGCCATTTTCAATTTTTCTGTTTCTGCTCGCTTTCTCTCTGAACTCCTTAAACTGTTTTGCAGTTTTGTGTAAGCTGTTTTTTTGTGATTACCTTCCATCCTCAGAGCTGGCTGCATTTCTTTGCTGAAAGGCATGACCCCTCTCTGCTGATCAATGACGTTCCCTTAATGACTGTAAATCACTTCAAGATTTGGGGATAACAGGTTTTACAGAGATTGAAAGCATCTCAATTGATATTTTATGGGTTTATGTCTGAATTTCTCTGGGGTCTTTCAGTTCCATCTGTCTCCCCCTACTCCAATGCCTTTAATGTGTTCATGATATTATTCTTTTTGATATTTTATCAATCTCAGGAATAACTGTTTGTTTCCTTCTTTATTTCAGTCTGAAGAGACATGTGGCTGCTATTAACAGACTAGCTGATAAGGGCATGTTTTTTTGGGATTATGGCAATGCTTTTCTCTTGGAAGCTCAAAGGGCTGGTGAGTAGATCCTGGAGTTGTTAGGTGGAAACAAGGACAACCCTGTATGCGTCTTCCCAGCTGTATATTTTGGTAGGATAGGGTTGGCCACTGTGTTATGCTAACTCTTTAGTGTCTCTCTTTTTCTCATTCTCCCAGACCCCTGACCATCTCTGTGGCTGAGATAGAGCCTTCATGGGAACCCAGGTGCAATCTGGTTTTACATTTTATAGTTTTTCTTCATCAAGTCACTGACTATTAAAATTATTTTATAGGTGCTGATGTTGAGAAAAGAGGAGCCAATAAAACAGAATTTCGATATCCTTCCTACGTTCAGCACATCATGGGGTATGTTGGGGACTTTGGAATAAAGCACTCAAGTGCTTTCTTATTTTTCTCCACTCTGGAGTAATGTCCAGTGTGGTTTAGGAAGATGTCCTGTTGGCTGTAAGCATCATGCTCATGTTTGCTATTGGCTTCCTTAGAGTTACTCCTTGCATTCTCCTGTGTACAGGGGAAAAGAAGAACCAGACCTGGGGGGACATGTTGTATATGATTAACATAAGTATATTCTGACAGCAGAGGTTTTGCTAACATTTTGTCCTGAAAAGTATGGCATGTCTTGATAATTTGGTGTAATAGCTTTATCCTTTTTAGAATTAAAAAGTCTTATGAAAGCAGGCACCAGATGTGTGAACAGTAAGCTAAAACATTGCCAAATCAAAACTCTTCACTCCTTTACATCAATAGCTGCATTTTCTCTTTTGTTGCATTAATTTTTCTTAAGCAGTTCTGCTCAAGAGAATAGCCAAGTCACAGCCTTAAACTATAACTATATGCAACTTCACTTCTAGGTGCTAAAAATTCAGAGCTTGTCTCTTTGGAGCAGTAGAGCTCAATTCCAAATCATTAAAGCCTATGTCCACATAGTTAAAGACATTAAAAGCACTTCTGAAATAGGACACTCTTCTGCCCATGTCACCAACTGTACCGCTTACCCAAGCTATGCATATGGCTTGTAGAAAAAGCTGAGCTCAGAGATCTGTTGAGGGACTGGGTTTATAACACCTTTTGCCTCTGAGTTATGCTTAGCTTCCCCATACCATGTGAATAAGAGTTTGAACGTAGAGTAACACACCAAATGGATTCGATCTCCTCTGGAACTCAACTGAAGTGTGTCTTACTATTGTATATAAACAATGTGGACAGCAAATGAGTCTGGACTCAGGCACTTGTTCAGAATCTACATTTGTTTGATAGCGTAGATGCACTCTACATCTTTTAGCCTGGGTTAAGGATGAAAGGACCAGGCAGCAAGGAGAGTATATTTAATGAAACAAAAGAAAAAGTACAATTCATCTGATGATGCACTTGTTTGAACTGCCCAACATTCCTATCAAAATTTTGGCCTGACTGTGTTTTTATACACCAGTTGATGGTTGCATCAAACAGCACTGTTTAATTTCTCAATTAATGGTTTCTGATGCTTCTGTTTAGATTAGTTCATTGAAAATGTTTCGAATTCTTCTCTCTCCAGCTAATGAAAGAAAAGCACTGCTAGCAGCCAGGATAAATAAGGAAAGAATTTCAACCATCTCTTAATGAAACATGTTCTCTTCCCAGAGACATTTTTTCCCTGGGATTTGGGCCATTCCGCTGGGTTTGTACCTCAAGTGACCCACAGGATCTTGCTACCACTGACTCAATTGCCATGTCTGTGCTGGAAGACTCTATACGTCAGGGAGGTAAGACACCATCCCATGCCCCCATCACTGGGGGTGCTTCTGGGGAGAAAAGGAAACGGAGTTGTACAATGTTTGATAGCTTTTGGCTGAAACTGTAGAAAGCACTCTTTTGCCTGTTCCATGGGGGCAGGAAATCTCACTGTTCTCCAAACTCCTATAAGGAGCATAACCAATAGGTAATATATAAAAATACCGCGTAGAGACGTTATTGATCTCAAAACTATTGTTGCAGTTTTGGCTAAGAGCATTTCTTTTCATTTGTTACAGATTTTCCTGTGCTTTGCCACCTTGAAACTTTAAGGCAAACAGTATCTTTCACCAATAGGTGTCCAAGAGTGTGTGGATTTGGTTTTGGTGGTTTGGGTTTTTTTAAGGAGTCAAATTGCTTTGCCCCGTCTCACAGGTGAATGAGGCATGGGAATTTAGGGAGGTTCGTAAGAGGCAGGAAACCCAAGTTTCATGGGTGTGGTGCTCCATCCAGTGTCATTTATTTGTGATTACAATTTTGAGATCTTTTTCCTTCTTTTTTGTCATTTGTTAATAAATTGACAGATGTTTCTTCTCACTGATGGAAACAATCTGGAATATATGCATGGCTCTGTATGCTACTCTAGTATCTAGGAATTGCATGGTCTTTCACTTCTCCATGTCCCCAAAAGTGGGCTATTACTATTATCCCCTGCTTATGAATGGGAACTGAGACAAAGCTAATTTTGTGCCAACACACATGAATCCTAATCTCTCAGGTTGCAGTGGAAGGCCCTACTCCTTTCCCTTCTTTTGTCTACTTCTACAGTAGCTGGACAGCAGGCTTGAAGATGTGTCATTGTCCCCTAGCACTGAAGTCCTCAGCTCTTCCATTTCCAGAGGGGAGCTTTGTGCTTCTCAGAATCAAGGAAGGGATCAGAAGGAAATGGATCACAAATCCAAAGTGTATTTTATGGGTAGGAGAGCATAATATTTTTATCTGGTAATATTGAAATATTTGTTGCTTCTTTCATGAAAGACATCATTGAAATATGAATAGAAGTGTGAAAATTTTGAATGCTCTCCTATTTGTTCTGGAACAGTTATGAGGATCTAGGGTGGTATTTCTGAAAGATATACCACATTCAGATACGTCTCATTTGAAACAAAACTACTATTGTCTTCCTATAATGTAAGGCTGGTGTCCAGCCTCCTTTTCCTCCCAATAGGTGAATTATTGATAGAGTGGGTCTGACTCTACAAGGTCCTTAGTTCTGTCTATTCTCCTAAATTTTCTTTAGGAGTCATCTTAGAGAAATAGCACTGGCACATGAAGTGTTTGTAATGCAATGACCCAGAAGTACCTACCCTGTTCTACGGATATTGAAACTTTCATGGTTTTAAACTTAGTCCCTCAGCTTAATTGAAGGGAGAGTGAAATCCTATACTTTAGTGCTGGTTCTATCTTCAAAAATTTGTGGTAATCTTTCTGCAATGTACTACAATCTTCAGTCATCTCTCAGGATTGAACTGATGCATGACCTTTGGATGGTTCGCATTGCAAGACTGGGAAATTAATCAGTTACTGTGTGTACAATAGTATGTGGGTGTTTATATAGATGGTAATATAAAGCTGGAGAGAGAAGTCTCTTCCACAGACAAAAAGCATTGAACTATTGCATGTATATTCTTAATTTAAATGAAAAATGACATTTAAAAAATCCCAATAGGTGAAAACAGGCTTATGGGCAAGGCTATTACTGAATTTGCTGTTGAATTTGGCAGGACAATGGGAATAGGATTTCAAAGAGAAATGAAAAAATAATTTGGCCAGAAAATAAGCAGCCATTCATGGATTCATGTTTTTGAGTATTCCACTTGCTGTCGATTTCCTATGGGACCTGGGCTGGGACCAAATTCCAAGGTCTGGATATCCTCACACACATATACATCTAAAATCTGAACCTGCCTTTGAATTTTATAAAAGAATCTGTTATGAAGGCTGAGTAAAAACTCCGCAAAGCTGAAGTCTGTTGCATTCCAAGTCTAAACTTTTGACCTGGCCTTGAGTCCGATGTTAAACATTCTTCTCCTTTTGTGGAGATGAATTTTTGTGCTTAAACCTCACAAACTGTGGAAAAAGTCCTATGTAGTTTTATTATCTGCTTCCACTCCTAAGGTACTCAATCTTTTAAGTTAGCCTTTGCCCAAGAGATGCAGCACCGATGACTGGAGTGTAAATTTGGTTTATGATCTCTGTGGTAGTTTGAAGGCTGAGCTGATGCATAACAACAATACAAATCTCCCAAGATCAAAGAGACCCAATCTCTGTTGATGAGGACTATTCCTCTGAGTACACAATGCTTCCTAGTATCTTTTAAACCCTAAATAAGTACAAGAGCCTATGAAATACCAGAAACAACACAGTAGTTTGCCTGACTTCAAAACATATTCTTGTTGGAATGGGGAGGTGGGGGCAGCAGTTTTGCAAATGAGACACACAGAGCTGCTCTAAAGGTAAGGTCTTTCTAGAAAGAACTGTAGGATTTTTTCAATTGCAGGAAGTAAGACTAAATAAAAGGGAGGATTCTTCACTTCCCCTGGGATAATTGATGAAATCCAACTTTGGACACACCACAGTTTAGGACAGAATGTGACTTTATTGGAGCTGGTTGAGAGGGACAAATGTACTGTGGTGAGATATGTCCTTGTAGCCAGTATTCTCATCTGGCTTATCTTCTGGATATGTTCTATAGAATTAACAGACAGCAAGATCTTTTCTATAAGTTTGTGCACTGTGAAGTATAAAATATAGTAAGTACTCTTCTGAGATACCTTATAATAGTGATAGAAAGGAACTTATTCTCTATTCAGTTTTCTAGAGTAACTTCTGTAAACGCTCATTAAATATCTATAATAACCTAAGTGAATACGGCCCATTACCTTCTAGAAGATGTTTCCTCAAAGCTTATGAATGACAGCACAATTCTTCTAGGACAGCACTAGCAGATGTTTCATCTTTCACTCCCTGTGAAGCTAAGAGCTGACATGCTAATCCTCATTGCAGAGTTTAGCAACTATCACTTGGAGCCAACCCCTAAACCACTGACAGGTCTTTTTAGGATCATTAAAGCTCTCTGTATGAAAGGCCTGCCTCTGCAGGAATGAGCATATTTTACATTTCCCTTTAACAATGTGTTTAATCTGCATTAAATATTAATATCTTTCCTTTTCCTAGTTTTACTATGCATATCTTCTGACATATTGCCTAGTGGAAAGACAGTAGTCTAAACACTCTTCTCAGTTGCTGGGGACAATTTCAAGTTAGCAGCGTGCAGTTTCTCCAGTTTGACTGACTTCCAAACATAAGTCATATGTATATTATAACTTGACTTGAAAATGAGTGAGAACTGGAAAGTGATGGGGAACATGCTATCTTGGCCTCCACAGAAATGATTATAACTTGAAGCTCCAAAGCATGAGCAAGCCACTTTGGCTTAGCATGTTGCCACATGCCAGCTGAGCCCTGGTAGCTGACCACGTCTCTCAGGACAAGGTGATGTGACGTAGCTTAGCCCATACAAAAAGAGCCTACAGGCAGTAACTTCTCCAGCCACTGTAACCTCATCTGAGCTCACACTCAGCCTGCGTGGAAAGGCATAGTTGCAAAAGCCCCAAAAATTAAGATAGTAAGACAATGCTTCTGTCCCATTCCATACTCCCTCCCCCTTTCATTACTCACATGCTACAGATGGTGCCATGCCTTTGGAGGCAGCTGATTGTACTGAGTGTGTATCTGATATGTGCCACATTTCACTGTCTTTCACTTCAAATGTCTTTATTCTTACTCCTCTTTGGTTTGGCTGATTGAGATGGAATGGCACAGATATAAATGAGAGGAGAAGCTGGAAAATATCAAAACCATTATATATAATTCTCTTCTTAGATAACAGCATATATATCTAAACAAGGTGTAGGGTGGATTTACACATAAAGTAGCTACTCCATAAGAAGTTTTTCTGTGCAGTTTGTGCTCCATAGTAATGCAAGGCAACATACCTCTGTTTGTAGGACAAGGGACCTCAGTTTTATCTGGGGATAAAAACATTCATGTGGGTCATTTAGTACAGAGCAATTGCTGTGCTACAAGTCTATATCCCTGCATTGGTGTAGCTTATCCTCGAGTATGTATTGCCAGCTGCTTCTGAGAATTTCTGCTGGCTGACTCAAAGGATTTATTTACTACCCGATGCAAATCTGGACTGTAGTACCCAATGTCACGGAGTTTGCTAAAGCTACTAAATTTAGCAAGGGCTTGGAAAGGGATTGGGCATTTAGTAGGCATCAAGCCAAAAATGAATGGTACATGTAACCTATATTTCAACATTTCAACGTTTAACTTGGTTTGCTAAAGATCTCAATGGGAGTTATTGTTCCAGCTGTCTCCTGGACAACATCTCATACCTTCCTCTAAAGATATGGTACCAGTTACTGCATCAGCTGCAGAGGATTCTATATAGCATTTCCTATATGCGTGCTTGTATCTGAGAGTAGAATTTGACTTCCTAGCATTGTCAGATGAATTAAATTAAATTTAGGGCATATTGCATTCATTTTCAAAACTTTTTTTTTTCTTGCTTTCTCTTGCAAGTGAGCACATCTGTGAAGCAGCAGTACCATGACAACATCCGCTGGATTCGGGAGGCTGGCAGGCACAGCTTGGTAAGTGCACAACTTCCTTCAGCACCTGTGACCACTCCTGGTCTAGAATGCAGTTTTTGAATGCTGGAGTGAAAAGCAGGACTGGGTATGAATGAAAACACTGGCTGAAACTCCCAGGGCTGTTAAATTAAACCTCTCTCCACAGCAGGGTTTTAGGGTGAGCTGAAGCAGTTCTTTCCCTCCACTTCCTCATCTGGAAATGTTCAAATAATCCAGCAATATCTAGTCTTGTATCTGGAGTGAAACACATCAGTGATTCTCCCTCCACCTCACTTGTAACTCCCTTTCTTTCAGACCACTACTCAAAATGTCCTTCTCGGCATTGCTTTGGCCCAACCTCTTCAAGCCTGCAGTTCCTAGTGCCCTTTTCAAAACAGGTGATGAGGCCAAAGAACTGCCATCCTTTTGCACTGTGGGAAGAAGGATACCAGTGAGGCATCCTTTGTTTTTCTTTTAGGGCAGGATCTCACTGTGAAGCTAACTGGTAACACTGTGGGGTTCATGTGCTGTCCTCAGCTGGAAGCCAGGTTGGTCTGTGGGGTAAAAGCTGGAGAGGAGCATAGCTGTGCAACACAGATATTCTTTACCATTCTTTGTCTCCATATTTCTCCTTCCTTCCAGCCCACCATTGCCACTTCCAAATCTCTGCTTCTCCGCTGTTGATAACGGATTTGTTGATAGGGGGATTATAGCCTAGCAATCAATCAGGTTGATTTTAAAAGTAGGATTTATTGGACAGTAGCAGCTGAATACAGAAATACATCTCACTGATTGTGTGAATGGAGATAAAACTCAGTTCAAAGAGGGACTTTAATTTCTTTTTTTTTTGTGGAAGCTGGATGTTGACGAAGAAATAATCGGCACTTTTGCCTACAGAAGGGATCAATGCTGTGACTTCATTTATCTGGGGCCTGAAGATAAGCCAGTTGCACAGAGAACCTTATCGCTCTGGCATTTTTATTTTCCAGGTTGTTGGCTCTCAAGCTAGAATCTTATATTCTGATCAGAGGGGTCGTGTGTCTATAGCCATGGCTATTAATCGAGCGATTTCTGAAGGAAGGATTAAGGTTTGTCTTTTTTGTCTTGATATGGTCCGGTAATTGTGTTTAATACCTGAAACTGGGGTGGCAGGTGGGAAAGGAGAAAGCTTTAACCAGTGAGAGCAGAAGTGCCTGCTGTTTACATGGGACCAGTATTCTGTCAGCATGTATCAGAGCTCAGTCCTCCTCTCTGCTTGTCACCACTATTGCGCTATGTGATAGGAGAGAGACAGGTTTCTAAACCCTCTGATATACACTACCTTTTATTTCATATTGGGAATACTTTCTCTTTGGGCATTTACAAGCACAACATATCCTGCTGTGATTTGCTGAAAACACAAGGCCCCAAACATTAAAAGTAACAAGACTGTGCCACTGCTCAGTGCTTCTTACCCTCTGTCCCTCACTTTCAGCCATATTATGGCTACAGCCAGCTCTGCAGTCAATTTTTGTTTGCATTGCACATGTGAATGAAGAAAATAGTGCACTATGCCACTCTAGTGCATAATGAGTAATATCTTATCATCTGGGTAAAATCCCACTGACCATAGGTTGTGGTGGTAAAAGTACATACTGTGGGCAAGATTGTATAGGGATTTTCCAAGTTTTTTATGAGTATTGTAGATAGATGTACAATGTGACATCCTGGGGGGGACCAAAATCCTGAAGCCACCACTCAGTATTATACCCATTACTTGCTGTGTGTACAGCAGCATCAGACCAAGGCATTGTCACTCATTCATCTCCATCTTTTTTATAACTGAATTACAATTACCCTTTTTAAAGGGGTAAACTCAAATAGAACTTCAAATGGATTCCAGCTAGGAAAGGTCTGGTTTTTGTTACTCAGAAAATGTTTGTTAAAATATTTCAAACACTGTTGACCTTCTCAGGATTCACAATGAATGTCACTGCAAGATAGTCTCAAAAACTAAACCTGACCAGACAGAGCACTCCCTTGGAGCTATGACTGACAGGGTCAGACTCCCAGGCCCTTCAGATTTTGTTGCGTCCTTTTTTCATTTCTGCAAATCTCCATTCCTCCTCTTGCAAGCTGGGTGCTCATGTCTGTTTTCATGAGAAAGATTTTCTCATTCATTGCCAGCATAAGAGAGCCAGCTAATTCCATGCTATACCATGCCAAGAGTGAATTATTCTTAGATAAACCCTGTGCATGGCAAATGATAATGAAGACCTGCAAGCTGATCTAGATTCATACTGTCAGTTAAATTCCAGATCAAGAATGGACTTGTTTGAGCTGTATGAAATCACATTTTCATTGCTAACTTATTTTCAGTCTTGAAGTCTTCCAAAAGAATGAAAAAGTGTAAAATTTCTTGCTGTTAGTTTTCATTTTCAACAGCAAACAAGAACTATTTTTGAGTGAAGATTTTTGCATACTGAAATGTCTTTGAAATTTCAGGAAAGAAATGTTCAGATGAAATAACCATACTGCTTCCCCTCTTCTTCGTGCCCTCCTTTGACGATGCCATTGGCATAAAAACAAGCTCTTGTTCTTAGTGATGAAAGAATGGTGGCTTTCATGAACAGTATGTGAACTGTTTTATAATAGTTTTATAATAAATTCTAGCAGGCAGAGAAGGTGTTTCCGGGGGTTTAGGAGAAGGGGACAAAGCTGAGATTTGAAATGACAGAAGTGAATTCAGCAAATGATGATCCTCAGTAGCACTGGCAGTCCATGAAGAATTCCGTTTTCTTGTCCTTGGCTTTTTGCAGGCTCCAGTAGTCCTCAGCAGAGATCACCATGATGTGAGTGGGACCGACAGTCCTTACAGAGAAACGTCAAACATTTATGATGGATCAGCATTTTGCGCAGGTCAGCAGAGCAGCTGAGGCTTTTCTGTCTGGGCAAACAAGGAAATTGCTTTAGAAGATAAATTGGATTTTTTTGCAACATTTTAAAAATGTTTTTGTTTAACCCTTTCATCCCAATTAATCAGATTTCCTGAGAAGCTTTGTGTGTTTTAAGTGATACAGACATGAATGTGGAGCTAGTTAAATAGGAGAGGTCCAGAACAATGCTGAAAATTCAATGAAGATGCATCAAATTTACCTGAATGTAAATGGAGAGCAGTCTATCTCAGAGGACTGTATCTTTTGTTTTATTTTAATTTTGCACCTCACTGTTTCAAAGAGGTGATCTGAGCAGAATTACAGCCCTGCTTCCCTGGGATCCACAAGATCAAAGTCAGGTCTATGGTAGTATTTTGTTTAAAACAAAAAGATTCAGAGCTGTGTTCATTTCATTGCCTGAGGACTCGAGAAAACAAATCTGGAGTTTCTGAAGGGAACTTTTCTGGTCATAAGGGAACATACTTTGATAGTAAAAGCATAAAAATGGAAGTCAGCCCTATTCTGGATTAGACTCCAAGCCTTGTTGTTCACTTACAGTGTGACCAGGCAAATCATGTAGGTTTGCTATGCAAAAGGAGCCTTTAATTCTGCACACCTGACCTGAAATAACCAGACTCAGCTTTTAAATTTGTGAAATGGTGCTTTAGAAAAATACACCCAAGAAATATCAGATTGGAGACCTGAAAAAGATGAGTGAAGCACTAAGCAATTTTTAACCTAAATCTTCCTCCATTTTCCATCCATAAAGTGGAAATTAGGCTAATAGCTTTAGCCCAGTAGTGTTTCTGCATGTCATGAACTGACAATCACAACGTGGCTTGAGATTGGAGGATACAAGCTGCTAGAGAAGGAGAAATTATGATAGAGGTAGCTGAGTGTATTGAATTACTTCCATTATAGGAATTCATAATAGAACCAAATTATGGCTCAATTTTAAGGAGAAAAGTTCCCTGCTATCTTAACTGGATTTCCTGATGAAATGAGACTTTTAGCTGTGTCTATCAGTCCCACTTCAATGCTGTTTGACTATGTTGGCTAGTTCTAATAGGCCAGATGGATAGATGCCTCAAATAATGTTTGGTTCTGACAAGCTGTGAAAAAATGGTGCAGCTGCACAGAGAAGAGCGATCCAAAGTAATGTCTCCATCAAAGGGCTTAGCAACATAAGTAAACCTCAGACAATGCCCTCAGAAGAGGGCAATAGAAACAAGGCTTGCTAAAACCTCATTGCTCTTCATGCTATGTGGTTTTTTTTCTTTGCATTTTGTGATTTACATGAACTATTTGCCTTCTCCAAGGGCTTATCTAAAGGCTGTTGACCACTGATTTCCCTGGTCTTTGAAACCAGGCCTAACTTTTACCAGATGAGCCTCTGGAGGTAATAAAAGAACATCTTGGGTCTTCTCTCTCCCTTCTTTCCTGTTGTTTTAACACCACATTTGAGCTGGTTCAGGTGAAATTGGCTCCTCTTTAGCACACAGGAATTTTTTAGAAGTGTTTGCCTGTCTCATTTTGTTTTACAGTAAGTACCTGGGCCTGATCCTTGGCAAACATGGGTCATTGCTCTTCTGCAAAGTATTTCAGCACAGACATTTGCAGTTAGTGACCTTTACTGAAGCCAAGGAGCAGCAAATTATTACATCGTTAGTCTACTTGCCATGCTTCTTGCCCAACCTTCTCTCTTACCAAGCTAGTGGCTGAGGAAGAAATCTGTACATCTTAGAATATGGGGATTTTGATCTTTCCCATTCCCTTTTGACAGCACTGTAATTATGATAATTGGGTTGTTAAAGTGACATAATGCCAGATAAAAGATGTCATAATGGGGCTTTTGACAGGCTTTAACATAGATTAGTGCTCGAGTAAACTCATTTTTCTATCAGACACCTAACAACTGTGGGTCTGCAAATGTGGCTGGGGGGCATATTGCTGTTTGTGTGTCCTTTTTTTTTTTTTTTTTTGCTATTAAAAGCAGAGCAAATAATCTATTAAATCTGTCCTGAATTAAATCTGGACAAAGGTTTTCAGTAGATTTTACTGTTATCCTCTGTATGTACCTCTTTCCACCTCTCTTGGTATGTGCTTTGGAACAAATTGTCGTGAACATACAAAATTATAGTGAACACTTCAGTGGAAATCATGCATTTGACATTAGTCAAATTACATTTGTCTGCTACATTATTTTTCTTCATTTTTTAAAATAAAAGAAACCTCCTGTGTGATTTCAGCAGTTCATATTCAGGGTAAAATTCCCACATGTCCAGAGAATTGGGGCCAATATCACTTTCACCCCAACTTTGTTCCCAAAATGCAACTCCTTAGCTTTAGACTAGCTTTCTTCACAGGGCTGAATTAACTCTGCAGTCTAATCTGAAAATACTTTAGGCTTTTGAGATCTGTAAGGCGTGTAGTTTTCCAGGTGCCTCCCCATTTTGAAACCCTCCACACAGATGTGTCCAGCCTGTTTTTCCATGACTTGAGGCATACCAAAGGAGAGGATTGTATTTTTTTGCACCTTGAGGAGGTATCTCCCAGCTGAGGAGGGGCAGGTTCTTCAACTGCTTGAATTGGATCACAAATGCATAAAGCACCAGGGTCCTCACAAACTAGTGTGAAACTGGCATTTGCTTTCTCTAGCATAGAGGGAAA